CTAAAAAGATGTTGTACCTGTCTAAATGCCAGAATATGTGCTTTCGGTGCATCTGAACCAAGGGGGAAAAAGAAGAAAAGCAGACTACAAGTTTCTGAGGTCTTGTTGAAGGCACTCTGTACATGCAAAGTCTTTGATGCTTCTGAACATGCTGGCAGGGTCAAAAATTTGTGCTTTTACCTCTCATAAATGAGGTAAATATTATGTTGAGGCTATTTCCAGAAAAGAAGGGAAAAATAATATGCTGAGATCCTGTCAGAACACTTCTGCTGTACTGTCCTGTTTTTGGTGAGAGTACTGATGATGAAGGGATGTTGTAGACAGTGAGTGTCAAAAAAATGTGTCTAAAATGTTGTCCTAGTATCTTATTAGTATAGAAATTGGTTTGCACCCAGATGCCTGCCTTATGGATCTTAGGAGATCAATGGATGGGCAAGAAAGCAAGAATATGAAATACAAGTGTGTGCTCGTGTGTGGTTTGCCTGACATTCACTTTATCTTCTGTGACTTCCTGGGTGGTTTGCTGAAAAGCTGTGTCCAAGGCCAATTAAAAACCCACCAGCCCAGGGAGAGTTCTACTGCAGAAGGGTCAGCAGCAATTCCAGCCTTGAAGTTAGATGCTCAGGTCTGTGTTCAGGTCCACTGATAAATTTTAATTTAATTTAATAGTAGTCTTTTGCTGCACCTATTTAGTGTGTCAGTCCAACACCTCAGGACTGCAGTTGTTCAAGGTGGTTTAAAGGCTCACAGTTGCTTGTGGACGTGGCCTGGCACTATATTGTCCTGGCCAGGTGGGTAGGCAGTGGCCCAGATTGAGACAGGCAGCCATGATCACACCGAGTTTGCATTGATCAAGTTGCTTCTCTCTTGCTTCAGAGCAGTATTACTGTTTGCTGTTTGGTCTGTAGTAGCACCAAGAGGCTGGAGATGCTGGTGGAGTTTTGTAGCACCAGGAGGAAGACAAGGACAAGGAGAAGGAGGAGGAAATGCCTTCCCCATAGAACCTACTCCTAGCCCCAGCTCCCTTGCTCAATTCCAGGGTAAACAAAATTGATGTTTATGGTGAAAATGCCCTTCTTCTCCAATACCTACCTTTGGTGGAGGTGCCCAACACAAACTTCTGCCACACAAATTTCAGAGACCAAACAGAAAACCCAAATTTGCCAAAATAAAGGAGACTCTCTTAAGCCAGCCTATTTTTAGAAGATCCTCTGTGAAGAAAACAAAGTCTAATTTAAACCAGACTTTACTGTTGCAGTAACTCACCATTTCACATGTGACCCTGGGAGTTTGTTAAATCTTGTTAACAGTCTGTGTCCCACTTAGCTTCAAACTCAAGCCTTCTCCTCCATATCCTGCTATTTTTGAGGGCACAAAGTGAACATCACCATTATTAGGGTGTTTTGCTCTTTAACAGTTATGTTTTGAGAACACTACTTACAACAATTTAAGGTCTCTTATTGATAACTGTGGCTTCAGTGTTTTTGTGAGTTCTAATCTCCACTTAATCTTTCTTACCACTGCAAATAACATGGAGGAAAAGATGTCTTTGCAGAACAGCATAGCTTGGAAATTGTGTTTTTTTCATTACTGGCTGTGTAAAAGTCTGGTTTTCCCCCAACTGACTTGCGTACTCTTTTAGAGATATAACAGTTCTCAGGGGAGATCACCACAGATAGCAGCATGAACTTCCTGCTTAGGAGGCAATTGCATGTTGTATCTATAAAATTCTCTCAAATACTTAGAGTTGATCCCTTTGTGGCCAACAAAGTGGAGGGGGTTTGGTCCTTCCCTGGGAGAGCCCCTGCAGTTTGCAAGCCGTGTGTCATGTTCATAAAGGCTCAGGACAGGAGGCACACCTTGGGCATGACTCTGCTTCCCTTCCTTAGTGAGCCACTCCCATGGCACTTCAGCAGAGCAGCCAACAGAGCAGCAAACACAGTTGGCCACAGGACAGAAATCCAACTGGCGAGTCTTTGCAGACAACAGATCCTTAATACGTTTTGGTCTTCTGCAAGCTGTCACCATTCTGAAGTCACTAGCAGCTGTGTGCCAAAGGATGCTCAAGGCTGCAATATTCAAACATCCATTCCACAAGGGACCACGATGGCTGGGAAAGGAAGCAGCAGCCCCTCTGTGGGGCATGCTGTAGGCTCCAAAGTCAATTCTGTCCTTGGTTGTGGAGGCTGGCATGGAATTGTGGGATTGAGAGGCTTGTTAAAATGTGTAGCTCTGAACCTTTTCCCACAGTGTGCTGTTATAGGATTGGGTTGGGAAAACAGCTAAGAAACAAGTGGGACCAGAGCATCAAAAGATAGACAGGGGTGGGGTGGTCCAGCCCATGGGCTTCCAACTGTGACTGAAAATGAGCAATGCAGACCTCGGTGCACAACTTGGGTGCACCTCAGCTCTCCACATCTCTGCCTCAGCAGGAGCAGCAGCAGAAGACAGCTGTGGGCAGGGGCAGCACCTTAGGAGCAGCCAGGCGTGCTGCATGCTTAATGGGATCACCACTGCTCAGCTGCCAAGCTCCCTTGCCAGATGGCACCGTCTCTACACTGCAGACTGGAGCGGAGGTGGTGATGAGAGTGTGTGTGAGCATGTGACTGATCAGCAATAAGCTTTTCTTACTTTCCATGCATTTCCCGTGTCGGGGTGTGAGCAGACCGTGAGACCTAACAAACCTCAAACCCACTGACAGCAAGTTTGCAGAGCCTCTAATTTCCGCTGTTTACCAGGCAGGTCCTCTGAGCCCCAGTCAAAACCTTGCTGCTGCAAGAGCTCCCTGTCTTCCCACCCTTACTCAGCAAACTGAGTAAGGGTGGGAAGTGCCAGCAGCACCCCCCACCTCCAGACATTTGCATTCAATTACCCTGAATTTAATCACAGAAAGCACATTTTGCCTGGCCACAACTTTAAAAGGGGCAAAAACAAATGCCTCAGGTCACAAACTGTTATATCTGATCCTTCCTCCAGATTTACCACGGAGTTTTTTTCCCCATCCCTGTTATGTGGTGTTGGTGTCAGAGCCTCCTCCTGGCCAGATGAATCTTATAAGAAACTTGGTTATTAATCAGATTTTGTGGGGATTTAAGGAAAGTTGCAAACACAAGCAGGCGAGCAGGAAGTTCTCACTGTCCTTGTGAAATGACTAACGCTGTTTCTTTGTAAAACCACTTGCACATTTCCTCTGCTGTAACTTCTCATGCCATTCAAGTTCCCCAGGGGAAGTGAGAAGAAAAACTCATCACAGAAACAGATCAGGAGTGAGAGAGATGATAGCTGACAATACTAATGGCATTTTGGGGCATAAAATAGGTATAACAGCCACATGCCTCTCTGGGTTGCCATCACTACTAGCCATCCACAAATCTGAAATTATTTAAATAGTAAACTGAAATACTAAGGGTTCTTAAAAATCAAGGAAATAAGGAAAGCATTCAGCCTAGGAATAGCATGCATTACAACTGAGTGCTAATGCCAACAGGGCAGGAGATGAAATTTATACCTGAATTGCATTCACAGTTTTGTAGAATCATAGAATATGTTGAGTTAAAAGGGACCCACAATGATCATGGAGTCCAATTTCTGTCCCTGCACAGAACACCCTAAAAATCATACCAGGTGCCCAAGAGCATTGTCCATACTTCTCTTGAGCTCAGACAGGCTTGGTGCTGTGACCTCTTCCCTGAGCAGTCTGAGTTTCCCTCAGTTTAGAGCATGCAAGCGTCAGCATGAGGACATGTCAGCAGAGAGGTGAGCAGAGGGAGGCTGCCCCTATCACCCTGACCTGGCCACCACGGGAAGAAGTTCTGACACTTGTCTCCACCCTTGCTCAACTGTGGTTGTCAGCTGAACAATACCTGACTAAGACATACCTGAGGGATGCCTATAGAGGTGGTTTCCACAACAGGGCTCAAACAGTCTTGCCCAGGTCACATTTCTGGTTACATTTTGGTTTGGGCCTTGGTTTATTAATCAGCTCTCATTGAGCGTAGCACTTAAGTCACAGTGTCGTGTGACAAGTATTGGGGTGTGAAGCCTTTGGGATTAGAAATCCCATACAGCTTCCCCAATTACTCATATGCCTATGGTGCCTATTGAAAAAGAAAGGCTTTCTGCTATTTTTTTTTAATTGCTGTCAAGACCATTCCTCCCTCCCATCCCAGCTCCAAGAGAATCAAGAGCAGAAGCCAGTACTTAGATGCTTGTTCAAGTCCTATCTTGCCACAGCCTGAAGCATAGTGCTACGCCCCCACTGACAACTCAGCTTGACTCCTGCTAACCTGCTGTGGGCAGGAGCATTAGCTCAGTTCTTCAGTCCCCCTCTTACACAAACTGTGGAAGTGTTTCTTATTCTGCTGGGTCATGCATTCAAGTGTCAAAATTATGACTCATTAAAAGGGCAAGTTTGGGAGGGTGGGGGGTTACGGGAAGGAAGAAAACAGCTTGGAAGAGACTTCCTGTTTATCCACAGCTTGGGAAAAAAATTGACACAAGAGAATACACACACCCTGGCTCCATTATCTTTGCTGGCACAGTGCTGGCCTGGCTCTGTCCCTTACCACTCAAGGCCAAATCCATCCCTGCCGCGAGCGTGTTTACTTTAGAGGAGTTTACTCGAGAGAGAAATGCAGTGCCCGGAGCCTGAATGCGCGCAGTGTGCGAGCAAACACTCGGGCACCGGGAGCCCCCGCCGCAGTGCCGCAGCACTGGCCCCCGGCCACGCCAGGGAGGTCATTTTCTTCTCGGCAATTAGTGAAGTGGTGGCATCACTAAAAGAAGTTGAATAAACACATTCAACCCAGCTGGGTTCCCGGTTTGCTGTGTTCTCACCACTCTTCCTTCTGGGCGCATGGTGGGGCCCCAGCAAGCTCGGTGCCTGTGCGCTACGCTTTCATTCAGGCCTGGTTGGAAAGGGCTTTTAGGAAAGAGGAGGAGGGGGGAAGTAACCCTTTGGCTTTCTTCTTTTACAACAACTGTCTTCTCTTTCTTTTCAGGGAGTAAAAATGCCAGCTTCTCTGAGAAAACTGCAGCAAATGGCTGTTTTCATGGGACTGTTCAGCGGCGGGGGATGCATCGTGATGTATAATCTTATGCAAAGTAAGTCTTGGTGTTGTTAGCAACCTTATTTCTCCTCTGCCCCTTTCACTGGCTTTTGTCTAGTGGGGAAAATAGCAGCATGCAAGTTGTGAAAAGCAGATGAAATTAAGGGAAGAGCTTCTGGGTTCTGCCTCTGTGGGCTCCACTTTTTTCATCCTCAGGGCTTTTGCTCTCCCAAGAGCTGCTGTGTGCATTTCCAGAGGCACATATTGCATAGGGAGCAGGCTGTTGTGGTCAGAAGAAAGTCTGGTTTTTGGGGGTTTCCTGAGGGTGATGGTGAAGTGAAAGCTTCACCTGCTGTAATGCAGGTTTCATTTCTTAATTGAGGTTTTGTAACTGGGCAGTAAAAGAGGACCATCTGTGAGAAGGTGTTAAAGTCTAGCAGTTTTATCTGTAAATCTCTGTATAGTGCTGGCCCTTAAACACAGCACACCTGTGAAGTGCTAAGAAATCATGAGCATTCTCCCCAGTGAAGTACAGGTAAGAGCAGTCAGTACTGAGAAGATCAGGACAAAGACAAAAGCTAGACAGGTGATGTTGCTGTTTATATCTAGTTGTTTATCTCTAGTTGCTATGTGTCTTTGGCCAAGAATCCATATTATTAGTCCAAATTATACATTTATTTTTTCTAAAACTGCTTTTAGATAGTTAGCATCAGAGCAGAAATAAGCTTTGGCTCTCTCTCAGGGGGTGCCATAGGCCTCTTGGCCCTATGCCTCTCCCTTGTTGGTGCTATCAAATGGTATTACTTTTCACCTACCCTGATACCAGAGGATACTGCCAGAAAAAAGTGTAGCCAAGCCTGTTTCTCAAGCCCTCAGATAAGCTCTGAATCCTCCCCTTCATTTTACACATATTAATAACAAATCAGACAGGGCTGGAAAGCAGACTTTAATTTTAGGCAGCTCATGCCCCCAAGCTCTGGAGTACATGACAGAAATATGATCCTTATGCTTTAAAATATTGAATCTGGCTTTAACAAGGACATTAGCATTTTTTAATTTTCAGCTTCAGCACTGTTAGTCACCCCCTGTGCTACACAGCAAGCCCCAGGGCTGGTTCCCCACATGCCTTGGCTGTGCAGTCAGGTGGCACATTGCAATGGCCACTTCGGGCCCTCTTGTGATTTCAGTGGCCACTGAGCAGCTGCCTGGTAACTCAGCCAGGCTGCTGAGAGGACATTTTCTGCAGCCAAATGTGTCCTTCTCTATCCTCTAAACAGACACAGGGGCCACACTTAGAGCCTTTCTCCTTTGGCTCATGCCTGGGGCTATCCCAGTGCCTTCTGCCCGGTGCACAGAACCGGCCCATACATGGACTAGTGAGGAGCGAGTGGCCTCCATAGTTGTGGGAGCAGTGGGAAAGGATTCTTTCCCTTCCCTTCCTTTAGGCTGAAGGAAAGTTTGCATGCACGTGGTCTTTGTGCAAGCTTGTACAAATACTCAGGTAATCCTATTTCTACTTACTCTCATCACCTCCACACCCTTCTCGTGGAAGCAGTCTGCTCAGCCAACTCCAGCATGCTTTCAGCTCCCCTACCAAAAGATGTGAGGACAAATGGATTAGTTGGGCATTTAATGTCTAATGCATGAGATGCTAACAAGGAACAGCTGAGAAGGAGCACCAGGAAATTAGAATCCATTTCTCCTCCAACCTGCAGGATGACCACAACATACTTTTCACATGGTGTGAGTGGCTGTTTGCCATGATTTATAGGTACTGAAGGGGCAGGCATGCTGCAGCCCCTTTAGCTGGAGCTTCTTAGCATGCACCAGAGGGACACAGGAGGACCAACACAGGTGACAGCCTAGCAAAGCTGTTTCTATGCCAACTGGATGCTCCCTGCTTACAGGGGATGCCTTTAATTGGGGAGAGAGGGCAGCACCTTTCTGCCTCATGCTCCAAGATTAATACTGACAGCTAAGAGACCAAGAAACAAACCTTAAACCTTGTTTTAAACCCTTTGAAAGGTGAAGGCAAAGTTGCCAGAGTAGTATTTAACAATTACACACTCTTAGCTTAACTCTGCCCTTCTTGATGTCGAAAGAGTAAGTTAAGCTGATCTAGTAACCCCAGCAAGACAGCCATAAAGCTGTTAATAAGGAAAGCTCTGTCTCCATAAGGAGGGTCAGGAAGTGTCCAGCTCCTCAGCTGTGCCCTGTCCATTTGTAACCAGGGTACAGCGTTTCACAGCCATACAGAGCAGCAGCTGTCCTGCATGTGCCTGCACTGCTGCATGCATGTGCAGTGCTGTTGTGGCTGCTTGACCTGTAACTCGAGTGGTGCTCCTGAGCACCTCCCTTCTAAGGCATCCGTCAGCAGAGTTGTAACTTCATGGCTGCCACTTGGAAAGCTGTACCAAGACCACAGCTAGAGTACCACAGCAGCAGCTGTTCCCCTCTCAATGTCTCCCAAGATATTCTCCATTCTTAAAGTATTTTATGTGCCTCAAATAGAAAAAAAACAAAAAAAATAGAATTTTTATCAGAACATTTCAGATATTCGTCCTTGTACCTTTTTTCCTCTTCCTTTTAGATAACCTACAAATGCATGAAAAGTGGGGAGACACAGCCGTAAGCTGAGCTGTAGATCATTCCTGTAGAATGGAACAGGCTATGTTCAGAGCCTTCTTCATTTAAATGAGCTGAATAACATTTTCTTCTCTGATGTAAGGGTGTGTTTCCTCCTTTAGCCAAATTTCTCCTAATTAATAGTTTTGGACTGTATTTCAGGGAGGGTGTGGTAGTCTGGATAAATGTCTTTTTTTTTTTTTAAGCTTATGTTTTGATTTTAAGTGAACAGTCTCCTCACTAACCTGTTTCTCTCAAAACTAGAAAGTTTTGCCAGGACGCAGTATTACCAGCAAGCTTTGGAGCAACTGAACAGCAATCCTGATGCCCTGGCAGCCCTGGGTGCCCCCCCTCTTAAGGTTCACAACATCCACCTGACAGATGGGAGCAATCGCGTGGACACAGAAAGAGCGCGGGTAACTCTGGGCGGGCAGCGTCACAGGATGGCGTCCTGAGATGTCAGGTGACAAGAGATCAGCCAGGGGATTTTCAGCGGGTCATGAGTCACCTGGGGGCACTGGAAGGCAGCAGGATGGAATACCGGTTGATCTAGAAATGGATTGGATTTCCAGAGAGTAAATCTACTAGCCTAGAAACAGAAGAGCAGCATCTCCATGTTGTGCTGTATGGGCCCATCACACAATGTCAAGGAAAGTCTCAAGACGATCAGTTCCCCCCTCACACTGTAAGCCACAAAATCATTTTCAGAGACGTATCAGATGCAGCTTTAAAATAACACCTGTCTTTCTTTACCCCCCAGATATGTCCCATGCTAGTTTTTAGGGCTTTATTCAGAGCAGTTTTACAGCTTCTTACAGGCTATGCTGTGGTACAGCATAAATGGTGTGGTTTTTAAGAGCACCTGTAAGCTTGTGTCATTGAGAACAGCTCCCCAGCCTGAGACTGAGTGTGAGGGTTACTCAGTGACTGGAGAATGCTGTGCTGGCTGCTGAAGTATTGCACAAGGCTGCCTTGTATCAGCTGAGGGCTGGGCCCAGGCAAAACCTTGCAAAAACAAGTCCACTTCCACTTGGCATTGATGCCTCAAGAGTACTTTCCATCAGAGTTTTTACTCCCACAACTGGCTGCCCTTCACTTGTTTTGCTAACACCGATTGCCCCTAGCGACCTCTCCAGGTCCTTCACTACGGTACTCGTCACATTGGAATAATTTTGTTTTTACTGGTGAGTAGTTATGAATGCCAGGGACCAAGAAAGTGCATTAAGGAATGGGTCAGATAATACAATGAAGGGATATGACTATCAGGGTAAGATTAAAAAACCCCAACCTTTGACCAGCTCACATAAAATTAATTTCGATTTCACTTCAGCCAGGCTGCACTTACATGATACCCTGGAGCAAAACATTTTCCGTGTTTTATAGATTTCACCAGGGAACATATCTAAGGAAAAAAGTCGTGCAAAACCCCACACAATGTCATATACTGACTGAAGAGGAGATAACCTTTCCCACGGGTGTTTTCCTATGTCACTGTTTAAGAATGCTGATCGCTTGGGTGACTCAGGGTGAAGTCAAACCCTGCCTTCTACTGACCTCACCCAAGACACAAATCACCAACTTTCTTCTCTACTTTTTCATGCTCCTAAGTATTAATGTTCTCATGAAATAAACTGGTTAATCGTCATTATACCACAGGTTGATTTAATGACTTCTCAACATTCCCAGCTGCTGGGTCTGTTGGTGAACACCTGGCAGTTTCTCTGTGTTTGCATCATCACCAGCAAATGCTACACCTGAAACATTTCTTTTATTCAGATATTAAACCCAGTGCAATTGGTCGTGGTTGCTGCTGCAGCTTCAGCTTTGTTTGTTAAACAGATAAATGATAAAATTTGTGACAGTGAAAAAAAAGAATCACTGAATATCTCATTGCCTCAGTGTGTGTTAAGGGACTGATATGCAGAGGATCTCAACATATAGGCTTGTAATGGTTATGGGAAGCTCTGACAGTTCAGGTCACCTCTGGATGACCATACATTCTGGTAAGGAAAGGTGTTTGCTCATAAATATTTCAGGGAGCCAGTGGTTTTCCCCAGGGGTTGCAGTTGTAACACAGTACATTCTTTAGGCAGAGAGAGATTAATGCATGGCAGAGCAGACATACTTGTGTAGCCACGCATGTGTTAGCTGTTAGAATAGATCAGTCCAATTCTGAAACACAGTAAGAAAGTAAATTATAGTGTTAAAAGTTAAAAAGGTGTGAGCTCTTTGACTAGAAGGAATAAATGTCTGTTTCATAAGCTTTGCTGAATCTTTAGTGTGCTTTTCCATTTGCAGATAAAGTTACCGGTCTCTGGAACAAAATCGGCAGGCTACCTCTACATTGACTCGGAGATGGACCACTCCCGTCAGTGGTGCGTACTTGGGGAGGTTACAGGTGAAATGGGAAAGAAGTGGTAGGAGAAAAGAGTAGAGCAGGGTATTTGCTTTAGTCATGTGTGATGCTGAGGTCATGCACACAGATCGAACAGAAACTGCCATCTGAAGGCCTGGTGAAAGGTTATTATTTTCATTAGAACAAAAATGTAAGTTAGCTGAGAAATATTCTGAATCCGTCTTTCTGAATGTGAATAGAAGAGGAACATGAGCCATTTCTTTGTGTTAAGTGTGTTCTGCAAACTGTAGCTCAGTACATATCCAAATACTGTGAGCCAAGGTAAAGCGAGGCTCCCTCCCACCCCACCTCCCCATAGAGGTGCAGAGGCTGTTGAACAGCAGTCCTAATTCTGGTCTGGTATTAGAGATTGCAGTAAGGGAATCACACATTATATCACAGCTGTATGAGATGAGCTAAAAACAAGATTTGTTTTTCTGAGATATCCAAGAAGTATCCTTATAGTTAAAAAAAGGTGCTAGAACAGATGCATTATAGTAGAAGTATACTCTGATACCATATCATATAGAATTGACTTTACATTTTCATAGTATACTGAAGCCTGAAAACCTCCTTTGTCAACAGTAAACTGGTTTCTGGAACTGAGCAAATAATTACTACATGAACTCAAAAGATTTACTAGATAGATGCAAATCTCTTGTTAGTTATTTCTGTTAGCTCTGTTTAGAAACTGAAAGCTACAAAACTTTTACTCAGCTGCCCCCAGCCATTTGGTGATGTTTTCTATTAATAATTAGATGAGCATGACTTACTGGATTTCTCTTCTGAGTAAGTATGGGAAGGAAGAGAAAGGCACTAGGCTGGGACTTGAGAAACTCAATACTGGACCTAGCCTCTTCCCTAATAAACAGGCATAACCCCAAGGGTCCTCAGCCCCATTTCTTGTACACCTCACTTTCCTGTTGCCTGAGCTCTGATCTCCTCACTCCTCCTTAGCCCCTCCTTACAGACAATTCCCTCGTTCACAGTTACTGTGAAGTTAACTGAAGATTGCAAAATGTTAAAACTACAGCAGTGCATACACATCTCTTGGAGTTTTGTTTTAAAGTTAGCTCTTTTTACATTTCTGCAAATCTAAGAAAAAAAGAAAAAGGCATCTGCTTGTAAAAGGATTTGTGGCAGATAAATCTGTCAGACTCCACCAAATCCACCCAGGTGCAGGGTCCTGTGCATAGCTTAACTTGGGGCTGAGACAGGACTTGGTGCCCTTGCATTCCACTGAGGAACTAACAGCAAAATGGCTGGGAGTAAGGAGCAGGTAAGCAGGTCATCCTGGTGGGATGCTGCAGAATTCATGGGTGCTTTCCCGGGGCAGCTCTCACACTGATACAGACAGCGCTAAATAGCACCAGGATTTGAGTGCTCTGTGCAAGAGTAGCTGAGGCACCAGAGCTACTGCAATGCATCTCACTCTGAGTGTGCAGACTGTCCTAGTGTTTTATTTATTTTGTAAAAGAGAAGACAACTGAAAAAAGAAAATTTGGAGTCTGTGAGCTCGTTTGGTCCAGGAGGAAGTGGCATTCACTCAGAGGCAGGCAGTGCAGGGATGGGGAGGGTGCCCAGAGGCAAGGGCAGCCAAGGCACGACAAAATTCCTCTTGCCTGCCCTGAAGTGACCAAGAGAAGGGTTGAGCCCCCAGGCCACACTGTGGGGAATGAACAGGTCACCCCCAAGCCTGGTTGCTTGAGCTGGGTTGGGGTTGGGAGCAGAGGACTGCTGAGCAGAGCCTTGCTGCAGACCCATTGCAAAGAGGTGCAGCAGCCTAATTACCTAATTGTATGTACTCAGCACTGACTCCAGCAAGAGCAGAGCTGGGCCAGTGCCAGGAGTATTTGAAAAAATCCTATTTTAGTACCCCAAAATAATAGTCCTTTCCAGCTGGAAAAGCAGCATGAGCAGTTTCTCAGAAGTGGGTTTGGAGCAGAGCTTAGAGGAAGGAACAGGCTCCCCCTCAGTCTCCAACAAATGCAATTTTCCTTCTTAGAGTAACCACTGTCGTACCCTGTCAGGTTTTCCAGCAGTCACATTGAGCGATCACACAGTGTTCAAACTCTTCCAAGCCAGAATAATTCCTTAGCAACACTGTCTGGCTCCAAGGCTGGAGAGGAGTGGAGCAAGGAATGCACCCGCAGGATGGAGAGGAAAAAAGGCACCGGGTCAGGGAAGGAATGTCCTAAGAAGAGCTGGCAGGTTTTTATTTGAATTGCAACAAATAGAAACATGCATACCAGATCTTTAAATCTGGGCTATGCCACAATATTAGGGAGAACAGCTTTCAGAAGTTGGCGCTCACAAACAAAGTTTTAAAACACTTGAGAGAATTTTTAAAAGTACTGAATGTGTGGAATTATTTGTTTCTCTGAGCCAGCTGTTTTTATACTGACTTGACCATGTTAAAAGTGATTGCTACAAGTTAAAAATCTTCTTTGGTTTATGTCAGCTGGTGCCTTCAGGATGTCACCTTGAAACTGCGGGATGGTCAGAATATTCCCGTTTACCACTCTTCAGAGGGAAGCATTGGTGTGCAAGAAAGCTAAAAATCAGGGACAGCTGCATCTCCACCTCCCATTGAGCCAAAGGAGCCATTAATCGATTGCATCCTGCTGTGGCTGTGAATGTACACAGTTGTTACAAGTGACAGTTTCACTTAAGCGGGTGCTCTCAAGACAATTTTCTCTCTAAGATTTACCTCATTATTGTTGTAGTTGTAATTTCTTTCTTTTGCTGGTTTATTCACGTGTTTAACAGAAGCCTAAAATAAATATCTTGCAAAAGAGTTGCTGTTGCAGAGAAGTCATGTGTTATGCCCTGTGTGTGCTGGTATTATGAATTTGAAATAAATAAACAAACTGCCAGGAATCTGACCTTTGTTTTACAGTGGCAGACCAAAGTCAGGGCAAGTCAGCTTCTCAAAGCTTTGAGAAGACTTACTGCCTCAGTTTCACCCCCAATTCTCAACAAGGTATTGCCTAAATCAGGAAGGATGAAGTAGCAAAGATGAAGCTCAGCAGCAGCACCCTTGACTTCACTTATGAGGTAGATTTGGACCCTCACAGTTATCATTACAAAGCTCATGAGATAGCTGAGGCCACTCAGCTTAGGAATTCCAGGAAGAGACTTGCTGCTCACACTGAAGAAGCCACTGCTTCACACCAGCACTGTCTGACAAGTTCTGGAGAGGACATTTAGGGAAAAAAACACTCAGGAGGGTGCAGAACAGATGAAGGCACTGCCGTCTTCTCCTCTGACTACAACGAGAGATTTTGACTGTGCCATCAGGTAGAGAATTTCCCATCACCAAGCAAGTTGAGAAATAAGCAAAACACGCCAAACTAACAAAAAAATCCCCAAACCCAAACAATTTCCAGTCCCATCCCAAACTGCCTATGCAAACAATTGCAAAACCTGAGGCACAGTCTGAGGGACAGAAAAAATACAAGTAACTGTCCTGTCTGTAGCAGGAGGTAACACAGGAGCCCTAAAGAACATCCAGACAAAAGAGTGTTTTGAATTCACTGCAATAGAGATGCTTAATCTCTAGATTAAGAGAGGCTGTAGCTAAGCATAGCCCAGAGCTTATACCACTCCATTCTCTGTTCCTCACCTCTCCATCTCTTCTTCTACATTTGAGTCCAAGAAATCCACCAAGGACAAAGGTACTGCAAAGCTTTTCAAGAGCCATGAGTATTAGATAGAGAAGGGAGAGCTAGAGCAAAGAATTTTAAGAGAAGAGTGAGCATTTTCTTGTTTAACAATGACCCAGCAAACTGGGCAAGGTGGCTTTTGAACAAACCTGAAAAGCAAATGCCTTATTAGAAAGGAGATGCTAAGGAGCCACAGCAGAGGCATCTTGGATAAACCATTTTAGAATGAAACGATACATGTGTGCTTTAGTTTGAACTTCACAAAGAGCTGTCAGGATGAACAGCACTTGTGAGACCTGACCCAACCCACATGAAAGCCCAGCACACCAGGGAGAGGATTAGAATTAATCAAAAAAAGACAGCATTGCCCAGCTTGAAGATTGAAATGGCTGTTTACTGGTTTCACAAAACAAAATACAAGCCAAATCAAATTTCATATGATATAAAAACATTAGCCTTGCACTACCACTAGCCAGAACAACACCTCAGGGATATGGAGATCTGCTGGCCACCTGGTGCCTCAGAGCTTGATCGACTCTAGCTCTTGGTCACTGAAGAAGTTTGGTGGGAAATCAAACAGCTGACAAGAAAAAGCCAAATCAACCACTTCCCATCCATCAATTACCACTTCCTTGGCTGCAGCTTTGATTTGTTGCTAATCTGCAAAGATACCATGGCTGTGGAGAGGAACCCCAGCCTGTTCAGTCCCTCCCTGTGTCTGCATTGGGAGCATCTGGCCCACATTGCCATTCCTCTGCCTTTTGTCACCTCTGTGTGCTCAGTAAGTCTGGGACCTGCAGTGGCTGCAAAGTCCTCAAGTGTCCAAGAAATCTGACCAGTCGCCCCAGCCTGCAGCACAGCACTTGCTCACCACCTCCCTGTCCCTTGAGCTGGCACATACAATGTCCCCATGCTGCCTTCACAAGTTGCTGCACTACAACACCACTGCCTGGCCTGGCTCCAGCCCTGGATTCTCCAGGCCTGGAGGAGTTATCCCCGCACAAACCTAAGTAACACTGGAGATTTTATTACCTTGCTTGGGGGCAGAGCTTGCAAAGAGGCTCCATCTCTCATTTTCTCCCCTGAGCACCCCTTTGGCTTTGAGGGCTCCCAGTCACCTCAACCAACCCATTGCTTCCCCAGAGCTGCGAGAATGGGCCATATCATCATATCATACCAATGGTTCTCTTAATCAAATCTTAAAACCCAGAGAAGGAGCAAAGCAATGGGTGCAGCTGGAAGCCAGCAAATCAATGGAAGGGGAGGAGTAAAATCACAATTAATTCCCTGCCTTTGTTTTACTACCTAATAGCCTGAAAACACTGAATTTCTTGCCTCATGACCTTGAAGAACCTCGGAAGTCACTTCCTCTTCATGTTTGAGTTCTTTTAAGATGTACATATTCAAAAGGAGAAAAAAGCATCAGGCTGGTGTGTTCAGTGCCAAGCAGCTTTGGCCATGTGGCTTCCATTAAATACATCAGAGCCCAAAGGGGCTGCTTTCACAGAGGACACAGATGCAGCCGAAGCAGCCAAGGGAGCTGGAACATGCCAGGAAAACAGGGAGAGCAAAGGTCTCAGAACCACCAGCGGCTGCTGGAAGACCAAATAACTTCAAAAGGGAACCTGGGAAGTCTTTTCTTCTGAGGAGCACTGGAGCAAGATAAGGTTCTCTTTGATTTCATCATGTCACTGAAACACTGGTTTCTTTTGCTTTTGGGGGGTTATGGGGGTTATTTTCTTTTTTCTTTTTTTTTCTTTTTTTTCTTTTTTTTTTTTTTTTTTTTTTTTTTTTTCTTTTTGAGAAAATCTTTATCTTTTGAGAAAAGACTCTGGATCCCACAAAGCACTTAAAGCTGGGAGGAACCTTAGGAGGTCATCTAGTCTAACTGCTTCGCTCCCACCAGAGTGAGCTTGAACAGATTGCGTGAAAGTGTGTCCAGTCAGGTTTTAAAGATCACCAAAGGTGGAGGCTCCACAACCTCTGGACAAGCTGTACCGGTGTTTAACCATTCTCACAGTTTAAAAAAAAAAAAAAAAAAAAAGCAAAAAAAAAAAAAAAGCTTTTTCTTATGTTTAAACAGAATTTTGTGCTTGAAGGTGTGCTCACTGTCTCTTGTCCTGATACTAGAGACTGCCAAGATGAATCTGTCTCCATTGTCTTTTCCCTGCCCTGACACTGATCCCTCCCCAAGCCTTCTCCAATTCCAGGTCTCTCAGCTTCATTAACAGGTGCTACAATCCTTTAACCATCTTAATCATGTTCAGTATGTTAAAATACTTCTTTTTATTGGCTTGAAAATGTGTGCAGTTCCTTTTCCAGTTTTTGGTGTGGTTAAAACAAACATAATCTTCATGACCTTTGCTGGATTGCCTGTTTTGTTTCTTGTTCTTTACTTTGATTTTAATTGTTTCTGTCAGGCAGTAATCACCCTCAAGGAAACTACTAAGGTGGCAGACTATTCAGGGCAAGGGTTTAATTTACAGCTGAGGAGCAGCAGATACTGCTCAGTACTGTTACAACACTTGCACCTATTTGAGTTGGAGCTGATGGGCACACAGGGGCTGTATTTTGAAAAACAAAAAAGCTAGATGTTTTGAAAGCACTGCCTTAAGAAAGGCTAAGTGGCTGACATGTTCCCTTTGGATTGTTTCTCCAAAGAGTGATAGAATTTGTCCAAGTCATGGACTCAGTTCAAGTTCCTATTTTGGGAAGATGTCCTGCATTGCACAGGGAACACGAGTTATTTGGATTCATCTCCCATTTAGAAATGAGGATACATCCAGTTCTTTCCTGCCATGTGCTGCATCTTTCCTGCTTGTCAAAGACATAATTTCCCTGGTTTTCCACAAAATTTACTACCAAGTTTCCTGCAGCAGGCCCTGGGCAGTCCTGTAATATTAGAAACAATGGAGACTTGCCTGCTCTTGGAGTTACTTTGGAAGATATATCTCACCTGGCCAAACGTCTTTGGTTCATTTCAAGTAGTACTAATTCTATAAAAATACTAGGCTAATGTAATTTCTTGACCAATCTAAGGCAGTTTCCATTAATTTGCTTTCCTAGAAGATTTATGGACCAGGACTTTAATTCAGTAACTTCTGAGAAACAATCATTGCCTCTCTTTGCTTGGTAAGGCCCACAACCTTCCATCCAGCAGCCAGACCAGCTGGATCTCACAAGGTACTACTGGAAAGTGGAAGATGGTAAGTGATATCCTGGCAGCTCAGGAGGTTTCTCTGTGAGGATTAGTTAAAAAACACCTGTGTAATTCAGTCTGTATGCTGGCTTTGCAAATTAATTGAAGAGATGGGGTACACTGATTTCAATGCATCACCAGCTTAGCTGTGAGTCTACTTTTACAAGCAATCAAAGACTCAATGTAATTAAGTCCTGTGTTTACAGGAAAAAAGATAATCCTTTCAAGTAGTTCCCTTTTCTCTCCTAATTTTGCAGTAATGACTCTAGTCCTATATGCTCTGCTTCACTTTGACGAATCCTATCCTTTTCTTAATTAGGAGAGATTTTTATCACATCCATCTGTACTTTTTTTTCCTGACTGTATTTATTAATCCAAATGACAGTTTAATTCAACATCTGTACTGTGAAAAACTCTGGAGTGGAAGCATATTGCTTTAGTATGGAAAATATTTCTGATGCATTTTATATTTGCTGCACATATTGAACAATGAATTTGCGATTTAGAAATTCTGAATTTGTGATTCGGAAAACTAAAATATCTGTAATCCTGCTAATGGGCATTTCCCAAAGCACAAAGAACAAAAGACCCATCAGCTGTTCAGAAAACAAAATTTTATTTATTGTAAAGTTCCTGAAACAGTAAACACCTTATTGGAAGTACAATGAACTGGCACTATTTCTTAAAAACTTTGAACTTCCAGGAACAACACCTGAAATATTCAAGAGAGATCTTAAGCCACAAAGTAATGTGATGCAAGGCCTCCCCATCTCTTGTGAGCACCACCAGTGGAGAATGGGCAGTGAGCTTTTATTTGCATTTGTGACCTAACAGCTCTCAAGGGGGATTCAGGCGGTAGATCACAAACTGGAATTCACCCTTTTGTATTTCGAGACTTGCGCACAAAAATTGTGACATGAGACAAATCACAAT